ATGACGGTAAAAAAAGATGGCAGGGATGGTGTGGAAAACTTCAGAAATACACTCCACATAGTTTAGCCTTTTTATAAATATAATAATACAGCAATTCAGGAGGGCCTGAAGATGAGATGTGTACGATTGTCTGGAGGTGTGAAGGTGTGTGGACAAGGTTAAAGTAGCACGAGGAAGCTTCTAGAATGATGCAGACAGTATAAAGATACATGCCACTGAAACGCGCTAAATGAGGTTAGCACGCCATCAGACTTTTGCAAGACTATGTAAGACTAATGTAAGAACGCGTTGTAGAACGACGTAGGTAACAGACATATGACGTTAGTGTCCAAAACAAGCCTTTATTTAGAGACTGTGTCGCCCTGAACAATTTGAAAAATTTCTGCCTAGAGCGAAATCTAGTCTATAAATAAAGGTTTGCTCTACACAGTGTCTTAACACACTTGTCAGCAAGTGTTGCCTCCCAGAAGACACAGATATAAAGACTTAAGAACAGACACAGAATGTAATAATTATTTTCAGAAGGAAGGTAATCAGGTTTGATCTGAGGGAGCGGAAGGTAGAGCCAATCCGCATCCGCCCTTAACTTTCATGGAACCTCACCTGAATGGTCATACAGTGACAGCCTCCAACTTACGCCTTATATATCTGGTACCAAGTCTACAACCCCCACTACCTGTACCACCATCTTTACAACCCCCGCCATCTGGTACCACCACCACCTCTACAACCCGCACCATTGGTACCGCCACCTCTACAACCCACACCATTGGTACCGCCACCTCTACAACCCACACCATTGGTACCGCCACCTCTACAACCCCCACCATTGGTACCGCCACCTCTACAACCCCCACCATTGGTACCACCTCTACAACCCCCACCATTGGTACCACCACCTCTACAACCCCCACCATTGGTACCACCTCTACAACCCCCACCATTGGTACCACCTCTACAACCCCCACCATTGGTACCACCACCTCTACAACCCCCACCATTGGTACCACCACCTCTACAACTCCCACCCTCTGGAACCACCACCTGATATCACTGCTACTATAATCCTCACAGCATGGTACCACTACATCTACACCCACCACCACATTGAACACCACTTGGTACCATCACAATATGGTATCACCCCCTATACCACCAGAACCTATTACCAAAATCTCAATCACCAGTACCACAACCGGATAGAGCACAATCACTACCACTAACTGCACCACCACTGCAGCTTCAGCAGTGGTGATGCAGCAGCAACTGTCTTATCCGGTCTGTCTTACCGCGCAGCCTTGTTAGAAATTGAAAAAAAAAATGTAAACAGAAAACTTTGGCCATGATATCCGCTCACCTGTGAAACCTGACATCCTGAGAGGAATGTGCTTGTGTGAGGAGTCGTATGTGTAGGAAATTGGGGAGATGTGTGCGTGTGGGATGGCTGTTAGTTAACGATTTTGTCAAGAACACTTGTCGATAAGACTTGACCTGCTCGGTGTGGAGCCTTGTGCGTATATGGAGAAACGTGCGCGTGTACGGAAGGCATGCAAGTGTGGGGGGGGGGGGTTAAATGCGCGTGTGGAGGTATGCGTGTATATAGGAGGAAGGGAAGAAAGGAAAGTTGGGTGGGTTGTAGGTATATAGGTAGGTTTGTTGGAGGAGGATGGGGAGGGGGGGGGGGGTGATTCGCGTGTGGAGCGAGGCGTCCGAGTGGGGAGAGAGGCATTTGAATGTGGAGTGGAGCGAGTGGGGGAATAGTTGTGCCAATGTGGAGGGGTGCTAGTGTATGGTAGACGTGCATGTGGGGCATCGCGCATCCTGTTCTGTTCTGTCGGCAGAGAAAAATGCTACAAATGCTTGTGCAATGTAGTACATACAAGCGTATGATTTCCGAGTTAAGCAATGACGATGTTGTACTTGCTACCAGACGTTATCATCGTTTTCGTGGGTCAAGTTCCGAATTGTTGGAAATACGTTTCCAAGGTGAGCGAAAATTTTGTACATTTTGTGAAATCGAGGCTTGAGGAAAAGAACTTCAGAAAGAATTATGCTAATACGCTTAACAAGAACGAGGTGGTCGTATGTGTAGGTAATGAAGGCAGAGCTGCCTGCCCATCACCCATAGGATGTGGTCACCGCTGGCCACGGGAAGTTGATGTGCCAGCGATGTATATAAATCGCTGGCACATCAAATAAAATAAATAATTATATATATATATATATATATATATATATATATATATATATATATATATATATATATATTATATATATATAAAGCTAGGCAAAAGACTCATCAGGGTAACTAGGGATCCCAGGGCAGCTAGTTTTCTGTTACAGCGACTCAGCGCTGCTGTTCAGTGGGGTAATGTCTGCTGTATTTTGGGCACGCGCCCCAGCTCTGAAGAGCTGGATGAATTTTTCACACTATAAACACGTTACAATATGTACTAGACATGTATCTCTCACTTATACACTGTACATGCCATTTTTATATCAGCAATGTATCTCTTAAACCTTTTGTACCATATGTAATAAAATATACCTATTGGTAAAAAAGAATGAAAAGATGGGGTGGTAGGGGAAGTGGAAATCCTCATTAGATTTTATCTATTACTTGATAAAATCCAACGCGGACTTCACTACATTGTCTGTCTTCAGTTGCGGTTCTTTTCTAAATGCTGTAGTATTTAATTTAATGCTTTCATCAGGTGTTTAGCGGAAGTACTTCTTTCCTCGGAGTCAACGGTTGGGATGGATTTATTTATTTATTTATTTATTTAAAAATTTGAGCACATACAGAGGTACAATAAATACAGGTAAGAGCAGTATGCCAAAGCCACTTATACTATGCATAGCATTACGGGCTGGCTTAAAATTAACTTAAGATTAACTAAGCAATGATGAAATCAGTGATAAAACATTAATGTAAACAGGTTACTATAAAGCACAAGTGAGTATTACAAAGACAGGTCATATGGTTGTATGCATTGTTGTACATTCAGTAGAATGGAGTATTCTGTTAGGTAGTGTATTTAAAAAATAATAAAGTTAGATTGGGTTTTAGGTTTAACATTTATGTGATATAATTGTGAGAAACATTTAAGATATACAATAATTGATATACCTATAATTGATTCGAGTCCTTTTCAAGCAAAGTGAGTGGTCAGTTTTCCTGATGACTACCTAATCAGCCAGGCTTTTGCTTCAACACCCGAGCCACCCCACTGTTCCTACTGTAAAGAGAAAATTGTCTGGTTATACAAGACGTCATCGTTTGTCCCGGTAACAAATATTTGGTGGTATGATGCTGAACAGGAGACCTCAAACGTTGACACTTCTGTTGTTGCAACCTTCTGTTACACCATTAGACTTTCTAACTTATTTCAGTATAAATTTGTAAACGTTGAGGATGGGCTGGATCACTACGCTTCTAGTTAGCGTAAACTACGTTTGTTGTGCATTTCATTTTATTTAGGGGAAGCTAAGCCCGTAGGGGTCGTGAAGTGCCGGGGAAATGAGACCTTGGTCCAAGATAAATCTAGTTTCTAGGATCAAGATCCCCTCACCAGCATCAAGGCTAATTAGGGGATTTTGTTGTGCTTTAGCTTGGTGGCTAAAGCTTTTGCTGCACACAGCGAGGGCCTCGGATCGATTCTCAGCCAGGGTAGAAACATTGGGCCTGTTTCTTTACACCTGTTGTCTATGTTCCCCACCAGTAAAATGGGTACCTAGGTCCCAGTCGACTGGTGTGGGTAGCATCCTGGGACACTGACCTAATTTGCCCGAAATGCTCAGTGTAACAAGGGGTTTTCTATATAGCATTATGCCATTGAGGTCAGCTAGGCCTGTATACCATGTACATGTACTTGTAGTAAATAATTATATTATTATAGGGTCATATATATTCACAAGCCATATAACGCTTGAGAAAGGGAGGTAAGTAGCTTTGATCCGAATAAGGGAAGCTAAAACTACTCACAACAAGAACCCATTACAGGCATGAAGACATCAAAATGATTCGTAGGAGAGAGCTAAACTCTTAATTAAGGTCCATGCAACGCTTTGAGGAAGGGAGGTAATCGGGTTTCATTCTTTCCATGTATAAATTCTGAGCACTCATTTCAGTGAAGCTGTTCGAGGCATCTAGCCGTTTATATGTTTTACCTATTACTATATTCACAAAATGCAAATAACCCACAAGGGTCATAGAGCAATAGCATTCTAAAACCAGAGTCGTGTGCTTTAAAACACACAATTAGTCGTGGCAGTTGTTTCAAAGCTGTCATAATCCACCCTACAATATTACATTCATGGGAGAAAATCTCGCTAAACCGTTGGGGGTCACATCAGGGAAAATGGGATGCAATCAGGTTCACTCCAAGAAATGGGGGGGGGGGAAATCAAGTCAGATTACTTTTATCAATTATTATTATTATAATCAAAAAAGAAGCGCTAAGCCATCCTTTTATCAAGATCCCTTCACCGGCGTCAAGAAACTACCGCCATTGCGGGAAATCCTTCCTGTATTATTCTTGCCTTTCGCTACATTTAGTTACGTTCTCACAATTTGGCCAAGTATTTATATAGTTTTTTCCGTTCTCTGGCCACATCGAGTTTTGTATCATACTAGTTTTGATTTTTTTTCTTTAATTATCCTTGCAAATTATTAACTTAACAAAATATGCACTAAGCTTGTATAAATCATTAATTTGTTTAACTTCCCATTTGTAGCTACCTCAATCGATTCTATATACACAAAAACCGTTAAATACGTGCGTTACTGAAGTATTTAAACTTTACAACACTTAAAAAATTTGTACTACAATGTGATTATACAACTTCATTGAAAATATAAATTCATAATCGACTGCATCCTGGAATTCTTTAAATATTTTTTATACAGTAGTCAGCTGCAAAAAGTATTGCTCTATTTTTTTTTAATTTACAATTCCATGCTGTACTATACATCAAACTTGGGTAATAAAAGTTATAAATCTAATTTTCTTTTTATTGATATGTAGAATTTAAATGTATTTACATAATATTTACACAGGGATTGGAGATGTCTTGGAAACCATTATCACAAAAACTTAGCGAGGTCCCTTTAAAAACATTTGTATTTATCAACAATATAATACCAGGTCCATGAGCTCAGCATCTCTCATTAGTGATTGTAGCGTTAAAAGCTAGATAAACCAAAACATCAAAGAATATTATGTATTCATTTTATTATATTTCTTTTTAGAATGCCTTTGTTGTTAATGCTTTACACAAATTAATAACGTGCATTATAAAATAATTATGAATACATAACTGATACCAAATTCTACCATTTTCAAACATGTAAAAAAAATCAATTATGTGAAGACTATCCCTGACGAGTTCCTACTTGTGAGAGGTATATACAAAACATTATACAGCTAATAAAAATACTTTGGTAATGTTAACTTCAATCAGCGCGAGTTCAAGCATGCTTTACAAAGTTATTGATTTGTATAATTAAAATATTCACAAGAAATTTCACATTATACATACACAAAGAATAAACGTAACAATACCGTGGCTGGAAGAATTCAAAACCCACACTTAAGAGAAAACTTTTGACGACTTGGGTCCGTCTTGGACCATAGTGAAGTCACAACCAACTGACAGGATAGCGGTCTAGAGTGAACCAACCTCTTAAGTTTCCTCCTAAGTACAGAATATTTGTGATATGCACATATTTGCCACGCATCGATAGACTTTTTTAGCAAATTCAGATTTTATACACCTTCATTACATGTATTAACAATGGCCACACACGTTAACATTTAAAAATATTTAATATGAAGTATCAGGTTTAAGGTAAATTAATATTAAAGATCTTACATAATTATCTACGCATTCTTAAGTTTACAGAACACAACATTCCATCAAGAAGTGGAAGTAAAAGAGGTAAATTAATGTTAACACTTACACAACTAAGAGCACATTCGACTAGCATAAGAACACGAACGCATAAATGAGCGTGACCGTGTGTAACATAGGTGTCACTATCACATATTACCCAGAATATAGCCACATCAATGTAGTCTATTTCCATATTAAAACACTAATCAGTTCAACATGAGTATTAGTATTTCACACATCACTGAGGTTACTGAAGACAAATACTAGGTTGACAGATTTCTAGCAGTTTCAGAATTCAAGAAAAGTCCAACTGGTTGATAGTCATTATCAAGTGGTTGGTGGCATAATTATTAAACTTTATAAAACTTAGTAAAGCTTTATTGAAGTAGGTTCGACCACCATGGCTGGGATCCTGTAAAACCTTTCTAGAAGGCGTCGACGGAGGTGCGGGAGTTTGAAGTGAGGTGTGTGACTGAGGAATGGGAGGTGTGTGAAAGCTGAGAGTCTTGAGAGTCACGGGACTCTAGGCCTTGTCTGCTGGAGGAGGGGCTTCTGGCTACACAGTGGGCGCTGCGACTGGCAAGCATCACCTGCCTCCAGCACCCACTTACAGCCACGCGCCAAACCTTTCGCGTGCACGTAAACGCCAGGAAGATGAAGACTCCTTGCAAAGTGTTCAGCAGCACAAAAATATACCAGATGGGTTCCATTTGTAAATAGCCAGCTACGATGCCGCTGATCCATGTGACGCCCATCAACAGTGCCAAACGCATATACAGCTTGAATTGGTTCTGGTGTGGTGAACATGATGTCATTTTCGCCGTCGACTGTGTCGTACTGGCGATTATGCGAGCAGAAAAGATGAAGAAAACTAAATTTACCAACATTATTGTTGCCAATGGAGCTGCAAAAAATACCAGAAGTGCTTTACGTTGTCCAAACCAACACCAGCGTTCTCCAAGTGTTGGAAAGTAGTATGGAGGCATGATATCGGGTCTTACTAAATCTAGTGTTACCAAAATTGAAAGAGCAGCAGCCGGGAATAGCCACCCGTGGATGGAGTAAACAATAAATTTACTCCATTGTCCGCCTGCTGATACTCTAAGCTCTGAAGTTGCCAATTTTAACGTCCTCCAGATGTCGAATGCCATCACATTCATCCAGCAAAAGGAAGAGACGAAGAAGTAGTACATAGCAGCAGCTAGAATAAAGCACTCGCTTTTGCCTGGCTCCCCAAACACACTAAGTATGAAAGTTGTATAGGCAGCTAAAAGAGCTAGGCAAAGGGAAGCCAGATTTTTTCCTGACAGGTTTCTTAGGTCTGGAACTATCAAAAACGCAATCAGATGCAACAGGAGACAGACACAGGAGAGGCCTAGCCCTGCCAATGACACCCAGCCCATCAAACGAGAGAACTTGTCTGTTTCAGGCTGAATGATGCATATGAGAATCCCACCTTCCGTTTGTTCATAATCTTGCGGCTGGTAAGTTCGACGATACTTTTCAACAACAACAGTACCGTTGGCACTCATTGTAAACTCTTCAGCAGGAAGGAGGAATCTCTCGCAAGTCAGAGTCTGCGTCTTCTCTGTAGTGGCATTTGGCAAACTAGTAAATTCTTCACTGGGTATTGGAAAACGAGTCGTGACTGATGGAGTCACTGTATCTACCTCGACAGGGATGAAGGTAGTGCTGACTAACAGGTCTTCACTACTCTGCGTGGTCGAGTTAAGGAGCTCGATTGTTGTGATAGTTTTACTGCCAACAGGGGTGATGGTTGTGGATGTAGTGAAATTCTCTCTTTCTGGGTAGCTGATAACGTCTCTGTCAATACAACGGCCAAACCGGTATTCTTGGTTAGTCTTCCCACACACCACATTCCTGCACTTCTTGAAAAACGGATCCAACACTTCACCTGTCTTGCAAGCAGATATCGACCCTACAACATTACTTCCACTTCTGTCCATAAAATCAAATAGCAGAGAAAAGGCACTCGGATTGAACTCATCGCCGAAATAAAACCTGGTGAATGATCCATGAAAGCAAAGGGTGTACTTCTTGGGTACAAAGTTGCACTGGGCACAGTGAGGATTCCTGTACGCCTGTTCAAGATTATATACAACAGCAGTGTATAAATGACACAGATTTTCCACTTGTGTGTCCGTCCAATTAGCAGCACATGTAGCAGTCATCAACTTGCATGGTCTCACCAGATGGAGCACAGTCTCTGGTACGACAGGATTTATGAAGCAGGCGTGGAATACATCAACCCCGTAGTCATCTATGTAGAGGCCCCAGTTGTCGTTATTGAACACTAAATTCGAAGAGACATACTGCATGGTCAAGTTTCTAAAACGCGACTGGTAGCTGGAGAGAGTAGGACACTCGAGACGAGACTGCCACAGCTGCAGCGAGGTGGAGTCGTTGTTGCAAACGGCACAGTAATAGTTAGTGTAGGTGACAGAGGAATCTATGCTGGTAACTGGCAGGCCAGCCATGGGGTCACTCCTGTCAGCGTTTGTGTCTGGCGAGCCACTGGAACACAACATAGCTATTTCCAAGTCCTCCCAGCCTGACATGCAAGACCCTCGCATGTAAAGGTCTCCAAATTGTTTCAGATGCACACATTTATAATGATCAGGCTTAGTTTGCTCGTCCACTTTGTATGCATTGGCATCAAGACAACAGTCTCCATATTCAGCACAGAGATAATCACAAAAACAGTTTCTCTCCTTCCAGTCATTAGGATCGCCCATGCGAGGGCCCTTGTCAATATTGCACGTGTCTTTAGGTGGACATGTTGCATTAATTGCTATTAAATCAGAATACTGGAAACCTGATGACAATCCAGCCAGGGATATTACCGTTATCAGTATTAATTTGAATGCCATTTTAAGAGTTTTCGAAGTGTCAATATACATTGACTATACTTTTGATACCTCATTCACAAGGCGAGGATACACAAGGTCGGCTACTTTCACCTCCAAACAGCACGCTAGTCGCGTCTCTACTGAGTCCTCCGAGTTTTCACCGTCTCGTGCCTTCTTCCATCAGCTCCGCCCACTTCAGATTACGAGAGGTGTTTTAAGTTTCATCACCTTCTCTAATAAGTAGCGCAATGATATCTTATGACAGTAGAACACTACACTTGCCATTTCTACAATTCAAATAAATCTATATATTTATATAAAATAAAATTCTCCTTTAAAATATACCATTCATTAAGACCTCAGTGACGTCAGGTAAAATTAAGCCAATCGCAAGGGAAGAGAACGATGACGTCAGAACTGAACCAATCACGTCGCTGGGATCTCAGCAGTGGGGGTCTGGGTGCGGTTGACAGCTTCCTGTAAAGGAAAAGAAAGTGGCCTTTAATATTCGTTGTCAACATGTTTATATCTGGCTTTTTTAACGTGTAAAATGCATTTCGCATTTTACATGCTGGGCATTTAAACATGCCCAGGTGAGGATAGGAATCTTCCTATTAAACAAAACTGGGTCACCAGCAGTGCTATTACAACACTATATATATACGAGAGAGAGAGAGAGAGAGAGAGAGAGAGAGAGAGAGAGAGAGAGAGAGAGAGAGAGAGAATGAATGAATTTACCTGCGATCTTTTACAGTAAGTTTTTATAGCCCAGCCTACGGCCAGCTTCAAGGAGTAACCAAGAATTTTCCCGTAAGTCCTTTTCACGTGTGTAGAGCAGGTATGGGAGTGGGGGGGGGGAGGAAGAATAAACGAATACCGAGTTTGGATATAGCGACCTCCCGATGTGACCCACCATTATAACTACTACAGTAGGCTACCAGGGTCAGTGTTTCCCAATCACGTCTTTTGAAATTTTACTGTTTTAAAGAGTTTCAATTATTCACCCAAATCAATTTTTTTTTTACAAGAAGTCCAATATAAAGTCTTGATTTAGAAGACTGGCATTTTAATTAAAAAGCCATGCGTTAGTGAGGTCACCGAAGCAAGGTCCCAATACTTTCGTCGTTCATTGCAGGTTGCAGGATATGGTGAAATAACTTTGGAAATAAGCCTGGTGCTCCTGGGTATGGGAAAACATCGTCTAGCTTCGGCTAGGAGCCCATACTTAACTGGAGTTGTGGGTAAAATACTGTGTACTCTGATACAAAGTTTGCAGGTTCGAGTCCTGTGGACGTAGAGATAATGTTTGTTTCATATATATTTAAAATTTGGTATTATATACTATGCAAATTAATATACATTATATACATATGAAATATAAACTAAGACATGTATTCAGGGTCGTATCTTCCAGGGTCCTTTGGCCTAAATGTGTGATAGGTAGTGTATAGGCTATGTGCAACCTTAATAACCCAATGTAGACGATAAGCTTTAAACCAAATTAACCAACCAAAAGTAACACCTAATTTTTTTACTATTAATAATATAACTAAGATCGTTGTTTGCCATGAATGCATAAGAAATAAGGTGAATATTTCTGCTGCACACACTGCGCGCCAAAACTCTAAACATTTTAAAAGCCTACTCAGACCTGCCTAACGTTATATTTTTAATTATTATTATAATCAAGGGGAAGCGCTAAACCCGTAGGATTATACAGCGCCTGGGAGGGATGTGGAAGGCATTCAGGCTTAATTCGGGGAACTGGAGCACAGATCCAATTCCCTAAATCAAGAGCCCCTCACCAACATCAAGGAACCTTCCCTGAGGGGTATGTTTTTAATGATCATTAAGAAAAGATTACTAAATTTTAATCTTTCAATAAAGCTATTTTAATATTTTAATGTATATTACCAGTCTCGGGTCAAGTTTTAATATCAAGACGACTTGCACTATTATTCTCATAAGTATCTAAGTTGAAATATTTCCGAATGCTCTCCCCTCAAGGAAGGTTCCTTGATGTTGGTGAGGGACTCTTGATTTAGGGAATTGAATCTGTGCTCCAGTTCCCCGAATTAAGCCTGACTGCCTTCCACATACCCCCCCTTCCCCAGGCGCTGTATAATCCTCCGGGTTTAGCGCTTTCCCCTTGATTATAATAATCCGAATGCTCTTAAAAAAAAAGTATTTCTAATTATAAATAGGATGCATTTTCCTTAATTATTTAAATAATTATTACAGTCTTTGGATGAAGTCGACGTTGCACACGAGGTGTTGTGGGTGACGTCACCCTCAGAGCTGTTCTCCCAAAAACAAATTTTATGTAAATTCTGACGTTACAGTGCCAGAAAAATTGTAACAAACTGTTAGCAAAATTCAAGTCGCTGTTCTGATTCAAGATGGTATGTATACATCATTATTAGTAGTTTAAGGGGAAGTTTTAGTGTTTTTAATGTCTCCAGAATTATTTGCTTGAGGGAGTTGTGATGGACCCTCCTTTAATCCTGACTCTCTCATTGACTTCTTGACAACGACTGATTTACTCCACAAACTCTGATGATACTTTTCGCACTCCCCTCAGCCCTTTCTAGTTCAGTCTCTTGCTGCCCTTTACCCTTTCACCATCCACTGCCCCGCTGTTATCCGTAACCTATTACTCATCCATCTCCCTTTTGCCACCTGATGCCCTCGCTTCCTTCCTGCCCTGCAGCGCTGTATAGTCCTTGTGGCTTAGCGCTTCTTTTTGATTATAATAATTGAGGGAGTTGTCTTGCTGCTGACGAAGGACCTTTTATCCCATGTCCCTAGGCGCTTAGCTTAGAAAATTTGTAAATATAGTCAATCTCGTGGTCTAAAACCAGTCAAATTCGTTATGCTCTAACAAATAAGCTCAAAAATGACACCTTTTCGTTTGGGCCGAGTTTAAAAAGCAGAGTTCAAAATGTGTTTTTTCTACATTAAAAGGCATATTTCTGGCAGTTCTGCATACAAGGATATCCAAAAAAATGGCAGTTGACTTTTCTTCGTATTCAACTTTAAACTTATTGTTTCTACTAAGAAAGTTAACACTGCTAGACTAAACCTTTAAAGGCCACAGTGCTGCGGAGCCCATAGTGGAATACTGTACGTTAGTCCTGTATCACTGCTCATGTTTCCCAGATTATGCTTTCAGACTGCATCATCCTGTATTTGAAACCAATCCTGGATGATTATGGACAAATGAAACGTAGCCTTTATTCCCACAATATAAGTATCATGTAGAAGGTACCAGCACAGGGACGATGTACACAATTTCATTAAATATGAATCTTCCATAAATTTATAACTTCACACCTTCAAGAATATTCATACTTGGAAGATAAAACATGGAAGAATTTAAGCAGCAAATGAGGGACTAACCGCAGCCTCGGTAAGATTCCTCTCACCACGGCCAGATCCGCAAGTCATTCCTCAACGACAAATTCTTAAAATTGTCATTTTATGCATGAAAGTCACATCCAATTTGCAGTAAAGAAAAGTAGCCCCAATCTAATTTTTTTTTTATCTTTAAAGACCGCATATCATTATAGTGAACACAATCATACAGAGCGTGTCTCCGCCACTTCAAATCTTTACTGCAATAACCTAGAAAACTCAAAGTGGAAGTCACTTATGCGTGCTCCTCTTTAATATTGTTGAATTACAGCTTATAAACAGACCAATGATAATTTTAAATGAGAATGTTAAAACAAAAAACGTTTATTCAGTCATCGTGATAATCTTCCTCTGCTCGTCCAAGAGAGTATACAAGCGTTAAACAATACCGACAAATGATGAACTAGACATGTTCAACACTGGTTGGCGAAACTTCTACAAAATAATGATACCCAGATAAGTTCCAGATGTTGAACATTTACCTAATTCATCAACGCAGGTAGCATTTACCGGTGATTCCATAACTGGACGCTCACTTTTACTAGAGCTGTGAATTTCACAGTAGGATTTAGGGAAGTTTCAATTTTAGAAGAGTATCTCTTCTTAAGAAATCAGGTAGTCACAGGAATTAAACTCAGGATCAATATATTAGCCTTCTATCCACTTTGATAATTGAAATCTTTGCCCCCCAAAATTTAAGTAAGGATCTTTTTTTTTAATTTAAACCATTCAAGCATTCTGGTATTCGGTACTGCTTACAGTACGGTATATACTATACTGCCGTAAATATTTACAACAATTTCCTCAACCAGAAAAAACTAATCTGGACACGAATTACTCGTTTCCTGTTCGTAATTAGTGAAGTAATCATTAAGTGTTTTTTTCCGTATCCAAGGCTGCTGAAAATGCAGAAATATCCCCTAAGCATCTCAATCTTAGTCTTGCTGGGAGGGGAAGGGTCAATGATTTTTAAAAATTATAACTGTAGAACAATATAATTCAGAGTATTTTTTTATTAACATTATGTACACCACATCGTGCGGACGCCTTTTAGCAAACTGATAATTCCAGCAGGATTGAAGTTTGCTTATACAGAATATGACTGCAGTAGAGAAAGCGTTTTCCAATACATTTATAATTTTTTTCTCTATGCGTCCCATAGTGTGCTAAGCGGGTAATATTTTTACTTTGTGGACAGGAACATGGGTTTGGGGAAACTTTCCTACAAATTTCTCAGCACACAGGAATCGAACCCGGGACCTTGCGGTTCTGAGGCAGATGGTCTTCCCAGTGACCAGGTGGTACAGCTGAAGAGAGGATTGGGTGGTGGGACTGATGCATCACAAAGTATCGGAATTGTGAGCGCACGAGAAGAGGGCGAGTATCTATCGACTAGTACCTTCGACAAATAATACTCGTGTACACAGTAATATATACTAGTAAACACCTTCAGTCCAGGAGATCGGGGAGCTGGGGTAAATTACCTCAAATGGGGTAAATATGAAAATCTCAGGGGGGTAATGAAAGCTCAATAAACAAATAAAATTGCACAAAAATGTATTTAATAAGCAAGGAAAATTATGTTATATTTTTTCAAACAAATTTTTTAGTGGGTAATTTCTCTGTACACAAATTTATTTTGGGGATATACCTCAAAAAGTTCGCCGACCTCCGATTCTACACTCGTGCGTTTAAACAGTTATACATCCACCAATACATATGCATGTGTACTTACACAAGTATATATCTGCACACATGTAGACAAGTATATTTTTATATTTTGGTGCATTTGAAACTTAAGACGCAGTTCACTGTAGGGCGGTCTTAGAGGGGCATCCGGGGGGGGGGGGGTTGTGGAATGAGGGAATACTTATCTTTGATATCTCAGTGACCGAAACCAAGTAATTATTTTCTTTAATGCTGGGTTGTGCATTGATCAGCGCCACTGTCTAGCACGGGTATAGTAGTTTATAGTTTAGAAAGATTCCTTTTTGTCATGTTGCGAAATTTGAGTTATGTTTTATAACTTTCTACTTACCCTCATTTTCCCTCTATGCCGGTGC